GGGCCCCTTTGAACGCAGGCGGCCTTCCAGGGGAGCGGGGGCATCCGATTGGCCTCGGTGTCACGGCCCCGCGGGGGTCCCTCCCCTTTGTTTGCTTTCCCGGTGGCGGCGCAGGGCTGGGATGGAGGAGGCGGTGGGAGTGGGCTCTGCGGACCGAGCGCTGCACGCGTGGGTGCGTGCTGATGCCTCCTGCGTCGCTGCTCATCCCCGAGCCCGCAGCCCTGTCTGGCCTGCCTGCCCGCCTTCCTGCGGTCTTTCAGCTCCCCCTGCTGTACCGTCTTTGGTTTTTGTTTTGTTTTGTTTTTCCAGGGTTTTTGCTTTATTTTATTTTATTATTATTATTATTTTTTTGACCCTGTCATCTCGTCTGCATTCTGTCGCAGCTACCATCCGGCCGACCCACCCCTCTCTCCTCCATCCCTCCCTGCCTCTCTGTTTTGTGTTAGTCACTGTGCCAAGCCTTCGGGACAGCACGACGTGAATTATTATGGCCTAACTTTCCTTGATCCTTGGGGCAAATAACACAGGTATTATGCTCCCACGAATGCTGTGCTAGAAGTATGACTCAGAACGTGGAGCGGCTGAAAGCGCTCCGCCGGCGTGGGGGGAGGGCCGCACGCAGTCCCTCCAGAGGATAAGAAATTTGAGGACGGCAGAAGTGGGGAAAGGACACCCTGAAGACGGAGGAGGGCAAAGCACATCCTGTTCTAAAGTGCTTGCGGGTTAGATGGCAGGAGACAGCGCTGCGGAGGGACCGGACGAACCGTGAAGGCTGCACAGCCCGGGAGAGGAGGCCTCACACAGGCTTGGCAAGAGTCACCGCTAAGGTGTCTGCAATCCCAGCCCAGGGCGATTTGATCTGACTTTGGTTTTCACCAGAGAATGTGACATGGGTTTTCTTCTTTCCGGCAGGAAGGGCCCTGGCGAGGGGCAGCAGCAAATCTGCCGGAAGATAAGCCAAGGGGAGACGACGGATGCTGGAAGAGAGAAGAACGGCCATGTTAGGAGTCCATTTCTGGGGCGGCATTGACTGGGTTTGGGAAGATGAAGGATGACTGACGTTTTTAGACTTAACAGAGACAGGTTTTTCTCCTCTTGGTCTCCTCCTTGTACTCTTCCCCATTTCTCCCAAATGGAATACCTTTGTGTTCCCCTCCACCTTTCCACCCCAGAAACAATGCACAGGACACACACAACATCTCGGGTCATCTTTAACTGTCAAACACGTGCTCCCCGACCCCCAAAGCTCTGCTGGCACCTTCTAAGCTGCTCCTTCATCACTGCAATGTTTCCCATTGTGTGTGTGTGTGAGTGTTGGCCTGCGTGGATGTGGGCTGCCGCTTGTGTACATGGCCTCTGTGGAGCTGGGAGGGAGGTATCAGATCCCCGGAACGTGGAGGCAGTTACAAGCCTCCAGGTGGTGCTAGGAATTGAACCCAGCTCCTCTGCACAAACGAGCTCTTAACCACTGAGCATCTCTCTAGCCCCAGTTTGAGTCTTTGACACAAGGTCTCACTATGTAGCCGTGGCTGGGCTGGAACTTGACCGTGGCCTTGAGCTCTGCCTCTGCCCCCCCCCCCGCCCCCCCAGCAACAAACTCAGCCTAAGTTTAAACTTGACAGTTTTTTGATAAAGGAATGGCTTTTATTCAGGCTTGACTCTCACCAAAGGCCATGGTCAAAGTTAACACAATCTGTATCTAAAGTGGGATTTGGGGCAAGGGATGGAGCTCAGTCAGCAGAGGGCTTGCCTAGCATACATAAAAACCTTTCCTGGATCCCTAGCGTTTCGCAAAACTGGCTGTGGTATTTCGTGGAAGATCAAAATGTTAAGGTCATACTCAGCCACATATCAAGTTTGAGTTAGCTTGGGCTGCTGGTGATGTTATCTCTCTCTCTCTCACACACACTTGGCCTGGTCT